AAATAATTAGCAATCTCGGAATACTTTCCATTATTTTAATTGATTACGTGGCTGGTCTACACTTTTTCTTAGTGTCTGTATTTTTAGTTATTTTTTTCTCTAACCTTTAACACTATGAATGAAATTATTCTAATAAAAATTATTTTTAACAATAAAGCGTTCTATGGGACTTTAATAGGAGTATAATGCAAACGTGAATGCTTTCCATAATGCTCAAGCAACAGTAAGTAAAAGTGAATAATTATAACGAATATGGTAATGCACACAATCATTGGCAAGCCCATCATGATTATTCAGTCAGTTGAGCCATTAACACGTCGAATGATATTTTGTTGTCAAGTTCACCTTTTTAACTAATTACTGGTTGGGGGTCTTCCATAAACCACGTAGCTGTCTGAGGGGTGAATGAGGTCTGACAGAAGGCTACTTTAAAGATCTTCAACGTTACTTTATTTACGTTTAACTACTAGCTGTGTGTTTGACAAATGTTATGTGGCTCATGTTGTGTTGTTCTATTTTGACAAGTGCAATTGATTTTTTAGCCAATTTATGACGACCCTGATAATCGACAATTTCCTGTGATTAAAGATTTAAATGAGTAGTTAATCTCACAGTTTGTTCCTGTTAATGACATCAACTAAAAGTGAAACTAACTTTTTTTTTTGTATTGGGAAAGCTAAAATGAAAAGAAGCAACGTATCTTTAGGAGGAGGGGTTGGCGAAAAGCTACGATAGACAACAAGGAGGAGGGGGTCCAAAAGTATCGAAATTAGAGATACGAGTAAAAGTCCACTTTTTCTTAAATCAGAAATACTTTTTGAGCTGTGGACAGCAACTCAGCAAAGTTTCATCGTAATAGGAATATATGTTTGGGAGGTTATACGCGACAAACGACGAAATAATAATAAAAATAAAGAAATCAACAATCTTATCGAAATTGTCAGTCTTCTTCGAAAAATTTTATCAGCAAATAAAATAAACTCAAGTTGGATCTGAAGACTCTTTTTCATGTGCATCTTTATCGTCACCTTCATTTTGAGAACTACCAGCAATATTAATTCCCTGTGATACATCATCTACCCCATTTGAAGTGGTCAGTGATGACGAAGAATTTCTCAACGTTTCGTACACTTCTTCAGTACTAGCCAATATCAGATTACTCAAAAGTGATAGAGAAACTGCAAAGTTCTCCTCTTCTATCTCTTCCATATCGAAATCTTCCTTATTATCTTGAAACCCCGAAGAATCGGAAACTGTTACTTTCTTTTTCAATCTTTTGTTGCTTTTCGAATCTAGAGATGACATGGATGACCCTGCATCGCTCGGACTGCTTGATACAGTTCGAATTCCATTTTGAACTAACTGATCGGGTTTTTGATCCTTTTTGGCGTTGCTACTCGAAGAATTTTGGTTAGGTAACGTGTGCAAATCCGTTGGTGTACCCTGTCGAGAATCGCTTTCTAATAAGAAGCTTGTCATGTCCGATTGCGAGTTAGAATTAGTCTGCAACGTTAAATTTTCATCAGCATTGCTGTGGGATGATTCGTCGGAATCTGTATCTGAATCTTCTTCCAAATCAACTTCTATTATTGACGGATGTACACCTAAAAATTCCAAAATAGGCTAATAAGGTTTTTCAGATAATTACTTCTTATCAATTGTTACGAACCTATGCCATCGCCTTGACAGTAAAAATGGGGCTCGTCGTGAAGATTGATGCTGCCTAGTTCTTCGCTTTCTAAAAGATGAAGTAACCAATTTGGAAATGGATTTGCGTGGGTGGGCAAAACTACTGAAACAATTAAAAGACATTATTACACTGCAAAACTGATTTGAAAATTATAATATAATATTAATACCTGCCACTCCGCTATCTTCATCAATAGGATTAATTCCAATAACTACTACTCCATTTTGAGATGGATGAACATTATTGGCTTCTCTGTTGCTTTGTGGGTTAATAAACCCGTCGAGTAAGTCAAGTTGTGAATTAGGATCAAATAATGCCTCCCTACTAGCTTGTTCCACCTCTGGAAGCTCCTCTGCACCTTCACCAACATCTCGCCCGGCATCCTGAACAGCTTGGACCTCGTTTCTAAGCCTCAATGGCTGTCGATCGTTATTTTCATTTCTGTTTTCAAAGTCTTGTTGCACTTCATTTTCTTCGACATGTTCCACTACAAAAATTATTTAATAATAAATGCATGCTTATATTTTGTGAAATTAAAAAAACAACGTCAAGGTACCTCTATTTTGATTTTCATTATCTTCGTTTTGTATTTCTTCGACGTCACGGGCTGCATTAGGATAATTGTTCCCTTCAAAATCCCTATTGTTGTTGACCAAATCGCCATTTTCAACAACCGCCTGAGGCATCTGATCCAACAGTTCGTTGATTAAATTGACTTCGGCGTTCACAATATCAACATTCACCCGTTCATTCAATATTTCGTCATCCTCTTCTCTACGATTTAATTGGCATTCTCCAGCATTTCTTTTCTGCTTCTTCCTACGCTTAACATTAGAGCCACTGGGAACTATTACATCTTCGATATCTGGTGATGGACTCCTCCTCCCCCCACTAAAATCGACACACTCTTTAATTTTTCCTTTTTTTACAGTGGCAGAAGGATCTTCGCTTGTATTTCTAGGCTCGTCCTTATTTCTTTTAGGAACTGTTATATCTTTTACCAAACCATTTTTGAGAGTGGTGCTATTTTCTTTTGTAATATCTATTTTTAAGTGTCCTTCCAATTTAGTCTTTAACAGAGGAGAACTTTCGTATTTTTTACGAATAATTGATGGAATCTCGATTTTTGGATGCTTGCATCCAGTTTCTACTACTTGCTCAATTTCTATAACGTTTGTTTGTAAATCTAAAAAATCTGAGTTGCAACGGCTCGACTCTTTAGTTGTGTCTTTACTTGTGCAGGTTTCTTCAGTGTTCCATTCACTTGAAGATTGTGACGGTATACTGTTAACATCATCTATTTTATTAATAATTTCTTCTACTACGTTTTCTGCGTTAATTTGTGCGTCTGCGATAAATTGTTGCTCTCCATCGTCAACTCTATTCCAGCCTCTCTCGCTTTCTCCGACACTTTCCCATTCGCTCTCACCAATATAATCAGACTCTTCTGCATACGACGAAGAGCTGTTCGCTTCCATTTCCGGTTCATATATTACACATTGTATCGTTTCGTTTGTAAAAGAGTCAACACATGATTCTAGTTTATAGCCAGCTTTCTGGAGTACTGCACTGAAAAAATACGAACATGTAAAAAAGTCGAGATTTGATAAAAACACTAAAATTTTGATGATTGACAAAGTTGACAAATGACACTGCATATAATGAAAACTGTAATCTATAAGTATATTCAATTACACACGGCGTAGCACCTGTAATCAGAAAATTATAACATTCGAAAATAAAAAAAAAGAATGGTTTCACAATCGACTGTAAAAGCCTAGCTACTATTCATTTAGCATGGTAGTACTTTTCTAAAGAAAATGTTAACAAGTTGTAGACCACTGTCTAAACTTTTTAACTATGACGATTTTGCTAAAATTACCGAGTTTTATATTTTTAATAGATTATTACTGAGAATAGGAAAAATCAATAAAATAAATTCCAACATTCGTTTTTTACTTAAAAACAATTTCGTAATAAGGGTTGACACGGTGAGTAAAGATTAGTTAGAACAAGTATTGATGTGAAATTCATTTTAGTTTGAGCCAAATTCATCATAGTTTAGTTATGTTATCGTCTACTGAATCTGCCTGTGGCGTGCTGATGAGATATCGAAATCGTGTTACACGTCTGGTAATTTCGATAAATTATTAGCCAAGAACTTATCTGGCAATGTACTTTGTTTAATAAATTAATAATCTCACCTAACTTCAGGTATGGATGTAACAAATCTTTGCTGATTGCAGACAATGTCTAGTAATGGAATCTCTGACCTTTCCCTATCATTATTGTAATATCTTCCATTTACTCTTCCAAGAAGATGAACACTATACAGTATCTCATTCATTAAAACCTCATCAGATGAAGTTGTTTCTGCGATGTAAGGATACTCGATACTTTCGATAAATTTATAGTATGTGTCTTCATAATGACTAATGCTGCCTTCAGAGTAATCACAGATTTTTGGCAAAATTTCATAATCGTACATTGGAGCACTATAACTTTGATATGTACAAATACCATAAGATTCATAACAAGTGTATTTCACTCGGGAATTTTTGTCCGTGCTTCCAATTGATTGATCAATCAATGTAAATGACTTGTCAAAACGAGATAATGCTCGATTAAAGGGCCAGTCATACACCAACGAACTTTTCACGAACACAGCCATTTGAGAACAAGCCCCTAAATGTTCAGTACCCTTAGGGCCAAAGCCAATATCTTCGAAATAAACCGTATATTGAGGAAAACGATGGGTGATATTGATTGCCCTAAAAGTTATGTTAAGTTTTAAAGATTAAAATCATTGTCATGAATAAGGAATAGTATGAAACTATAACTTAATATAAAAAAAGAAGAGGAAGAAAAGCGCAAAATTTTAGAAAATGGAAAGAAAGAATTAGACAGT